GTCTTCAGCCCAACCATTCCCCGCAGGTCTGGGAGAGATCAAAGCAGTGCAGAGCCCTCCTGTCTGCTGCAGGGCGCTGAGGAGCATGTGCTGGGGATGGGGAGTAAACAGACATCAAAGCCAGCTTGCGAAACACCGGATGTTGTCAGCCCAATTACATTCGGGCACTGCCGAGCCTGTTGCTCCGGCTCTGTTGGCGCGGTGGGTGTTGGTGTTGTGTGGGTGCTGTTGGTGTTGCACAGGGTGCAGGCAGCTGGCGTGCTGCCCCCACCTCCAGCCCCAGAGGCTCGTGGCCAGTTTACGGGAAGTCGGTTACTGTTGGTCGGCAGCCGTGACGCTTCGCTTGTGTTACACTTTCTGAGCTGTCAAACCCCACTTCCCAGCTCTGCAACGCTTTGGCTGCAGGGCTGTTGGTCAGGTTTTGTTTTGTTTCATTTGATGTCATGAGAATGTTGGCACTCGTGTACTACGGAGCTGTTGGCACCGTGCAGCTTTTGGAGGACGCCCATCACTGGGGATTGTGCCTGCTCCTGCCACAGGGCACTGAGCAGTCTGCAAGCTACTTTGCAAAACCCCCAGCTCAACCCAATTGGGTCACTCCTTGGTTTATGCCACACGTTTTATGCTTAAAAACAGCATTCCTACCCCGTTCCCTGTGCTCTCTTCTCTAAGTACAGCTGCTTTTTGGGAACCAGGGTCCCTAGAGCTCTGTCCCAGCTCTGGATGCACTCGCGTGTTGTGTCACTGCTGTCCCTCTGCACAGTGTTAATTCCGTTTGTTTAGCTTTTTTTTTCCCTGCTCAGCTGCATCTTTCATCTCCTCCTTGAGTCCGCTCAGAGCAGGAAGCACTGCTCCGAATGCCTTCAAAGTTCAGCCCCGTTTAGAGATGCGGTTTGCACTGAACCTCCCCTCTCGCTTTTCCTCCGGACCATCCGGGAAGCAGCTCTTACACGAAAGCAGAGCAGCGCAGAGCCCCCGCGCCGCATCCTCCCCCTGCACTATCGCGGCTGCCCGGGTTGAGCACAGCCCACCCTTCCTGTAAATGCTCACAACTGCTGCGGCGTTTCTTAGAAAAGGGCCGAGTTGGTCCGGCGCTGCTCGGTGTGCCGATAGCCGCGGCGTTTCCGTCTGCCGCTGGTGATCCCGTCCACCATCACTGTGCCTGCGCTGCAGCTTTCCCTCCTGCTGGCGCCTTCATCCAGCCAAGAGCCGTCAGGTCCATCCGTGTCCTGCACCTCTAGGAGGAGGGAGATGGGAGACCCGAAGTCAGTAGCTTAGAATGGTTTGGGTTATGAGGGACCTTGAATGTTCCAGTCGCAGTAGGCAAGTTTCCCTTCTCCCAGACAAGAACAGCAGGGTTGGGTTGGAGATGATGGATGTTTTATTACTTGTCTAGCCGTTCCTGCTGCTTTTACATCATAGAATCATTAAGGTCAGAAAAGACCCAAGTCCAACCCCAGCACACCAAGCCCACTGGCCACATCTCTCAGTGCCCACATCTTGAACACCTCCAGCGATGGTGACCCCACCACCTTCCTGGGCAGCCTGTGAAAATGCATCACCGCTCCTTCTGAGAAGAAGTGAATCCTAACCTCCAACCTCACAAGAGCAAAAACCAAAAAGGATGAAACAGGAGCAGGACAAGTCTTCATGCCATCCAATTCTGAGATCTGGGGCTGAACGGACAGCTGCAGACTTGCAGAGGGTCAGCACTCAACACACCTTTGCCTTCCCATATCCAGCCACGGTGCTCGGCCACAGCAAAGGCAACAAACTCTCTTTATCGCATCACTTCCTGGAAATGGGAGGTGAGCAGCAGCCAGACGTGCTGGAAACGCACATGCGGGCTCGGAGGTGGCACCTTTGGGCCCTTCTGGGCACAGTGAGTCACAGGAGCTATTTTAAACCCCCGCCTTAGGATGAGAGGAATGAGCAGCAGGTCCCACGGCTCCCTGGTAATGAAGCACTGTGAGCACTGATCTCTCAGCGCTTTGCCAAAGTCCTGTGGGCAACAGCATCATTTCCATGGGGTGTGTGGGGAAACTGAGGCACGGCACACTGGCTTGCTGGAGACATTTTGTGGCAGAGCTTAAGAGCAGGGCTCAGCCTTTTCCTGCCCTATCACTCCCACAAGGGAAATGTCAGCCAGGAGAAAGTGCGCAGCAAGAGGCTCCTGGGTTTATTTGTGGGTGCCAGGAGCTTGCAGCCAACGAGCAAGATGAGACCACAGGCAGCAGTGTCCCAGCAGCATAAGCACCTTTCTTTGGGTGGGACTGGCCATCAAGCGATGTCCCCAAGTCCCCCAGGTACGGGAGCTGAGGGCAAAGCCCTGAACTCATCTCAACCCTGGCAAAAATGAACAAAGTGGGGGGAGACGGCCCTTCCCAGAGCTCTGGAAAAACCCCGTGCTGTGACCCCAGGTGCAGGTTTCAGGCACCTGAAGCCTTGTGGGTTTTGCACCAACCTTACCAACATGGAGCCCGAGCTGATGCTGCCTCCGTGACACACTGAAACTGCATCACTGGGCTGAGAGTTGGTGGGGGTTTTTGCAAGGAAGAAACACTCTATTCACCATATTAAAAAAACACCAAAACAAAACAAAAAACCAAAAAACCCACACACCGCAAAACCTTTCCAGTGTGTAAAGCTGAGTCAAATTTAGCAACTTCAGCTAAAGAAAAATATTTGTAAGGGGGTAATCAGAGTGTTTTTCATCCTTTTCCAAGCTTTTCCCCTTCCTCCAGGGTAATTTTTCATGTTTTTAATCACTGTGTTTGTTACAGTTAGGAGGGTGTTAAGCGACTCGAAAACTGAAACAGCTCTCGTTTCAAACCCAAGCAGCCAGTTCAGTTAACCTGAAATGACACACAGGCACACATCAGCGTTTGAAGGGAGAGCGGGTTGCAGGAACAGAGATCTCACCCCACTGGGAAGGCTGTGAGAAAAACAGAAGCAGCAAAATGTCATTTCAGGTCAACCCACGCTGAAATTCTTCAGACTTTCCCCCCACAGGAGCGCAGGCAGGGCCTGCACACAGCAGTGGTGACCCCAACGGAAACTGCCCCGTGCTTGCAACCTGCCCCGGGCCACTGCTCATAGCCTGTTCTTGCTGCACATGTGCACGGGTAGAGGAGGGCCCACGCCTGCTTGAATGTACGTAATCCTCCCTAAGCAGGTGATCTGGATGGCTTTGGCTCAGGTTGGTTGCTGTTGCCAGCAAAAAGCTAAGATGCTTGGATTTTGTCCTCGGCATCCTTTCATCCCCCATCCCTTCTTTTGGGGCAGAATGGAGCTGATGAGCACCTCCCCATGCTTTCTTCTCCAGGGTGTTTCCAAACTCTGATAAAGCCAGGGAAAGAATGAACCACGCGAAGACGACCTGTGAATCGCCATCGAAAAGCAGGAGGGAGATTTCTGAGAAAGACTGATAGCTCTGGCTGGGGAGAGACAGCAAAGCAAACCCACCCTGCGCAGGTGGAGGGGACAACAGCACCGGAAGGGGCTTTGCAGCACCGGAAGAATCTGTGCCACGCTCAGCCTCTCCCTGACACCCCGGACACTTTCCATTTCCCGGTGTAACAACGCTGGGCTTCCAAACTTCCCACCACCAGCTTGCGTGTCCTCGCGGACACCACCCCCGCTCTGTGCACGTGCCTCAAAGCGGGTCGGGACCGCAGAAAATCCCACGTCAGATCCTTCACAGATCCCCGAGTCCAACCCCACGCACCCTATGGCTGAGCGCCGTCCTAACGCTGCAGAGCTGCGCCGTGCCCGCTGAGGCAGAGCCTTTCCCTCGCACCCAAACTTGCACACATCTCGTAGACACGCTGCGACCACGAGCTCCGTGCGCGGCGCACGGCGGAGCGCCCCGCGGCCCAGTGCCCGCAGCACCGCCCGGCCCGCTGACGGAGGGCAGCGATCCGCAGCTGGGAGCCTCGACGCGCTCTTATTTTTTACCAGCCCGAAGTTTCCTTTCTCCGCTTCAGCCTCGGGACGGGAAAAGGAACCGATTCTCCTCTCAGCTTTCGATCTCGCTCGGAACTGAAAGCTGCCGGACCCGAAACGTCCCCGCATCCCGCGCGGGAGCAGCGAGCAGAGCGGAGCCGGGTTCCAGCAGCGCGGGGTGCGGAGCTGTGCCGCCCTCTGCTGTCCTCCAGAAACTGATTTTGTACAGAAATAGGCCGCTTTGGCACAGAAACATGCGCTTTTTTACACAGAAACGTGCGCTTTTTTACACAGAAACGCGCGCTTTTGTGCAGAATTATGCGTTTTTCTCCCCCTTTTGGAGCACCCCCATCGCTCGAAGGGCCCCACGAGGGGTTCCAGGAGGCGGCTCTGCGGCCACCCGGCGGCCGTTCGCTGAGCGTGCGGTGACGGCGCTCCGGACCTCGGGGACAACGCAGGGCCGTCGGGGCTGGAAACGGCCCGAAATCCTCGGCGCTGCCCCGGCGACCATAGCAGCCGCGCAGAAGGCCCGCCGTTCGTTCCGCCACCGCCCCCCGCTGTCCCCTGGTTTTAACCCGCTGCCCCCCGCCTCCTCCCGATGGTTTCGCCCTCAGAAATCAGGTGCCCGCCAGGCACATTTCCTCCCGCGCTACGAGATTGGCCCTTCCCGCTCAGGGCGGTGCTAAACGCTCCTCGCCCTCCCTTTCGTGAGGTGGGTGGGTTTTCCCGTCTTACCCCCCGGTGCTAATGGAGCGCTCCCGCTCCCCCCCTCACACGGGGCGGAATGGTCTCTCCCTATGCCCGCAGTCCCACCCCAGCCCTCCTCCGCCGTGACGTCACGCCATCTCCCACTTCCTATTGGCTGAGCCGCCGGGCCTGGAGCATAGCGGCCAATGGCGACGCTCTCCCCGCCCTCATCCAAGATGGCGCCGCCAGGGGCCACGGGTGGGCAGTGGTGAGGCGGCCTGGGTGTGGGGGGGGCGCGCCGCCTTCTCCGCGCTCCGCCGCTGCGCCGCGGGGCCGGCCGGCCCGGTGGGCCCGCTGTCTGGCTGGCCGCCGGGCCCGGCCCTGCGTAGCTCCGTTATGGCGGCTGAGAGCGGGCGGCAGTTCTGGAAGCGGAGCGCCAAGCTGCCGGGCAGGTGAGCCGGGCCCGGTCCGGGCGGGTAACGACCCCGGGGCTGGGGGCTCGTGAGGGGGGCTGGGCTCCCTGGGGCCACCCTGGCTGCGGGGGCCACGTGTGTGTCCCGCGCGTGGCCGGAGCCCCGCGGGCTGTAGTGGAGGAACGGGTTCGAGTCTTCGGCGATTCGCCCCGTGTGGAGCCTTTGGGGGTGCCGCTCTCCCGATTGAGGCCGCGCTGGGGGCCCCGGGCTGTGGCCGCTCCCCTCCTGCTGCGGCCTTCGTGGCGGTGGAGGAAAAGCAGCGGCGCCCGGTAGGAAGCGGGCCTCGGGTAGGAAGTTGCGGGGGGGGGGGGGAAGAGGGGCGAGGAAGGTTCCTGAGCGGCCGTGTGAGCAGAGCAGAGCACCCCTTGGGGACGCCCGCAGTTCTGGTCCTCCCTTGCACCTCGTTTACGCTCAGTAGTCTCGTCTGCAGCTTGCCCTTCTCCTCCTGGTGCTCTTAGCCGGTTGCGGGGGCGATTAGGTTTGGGATTGCCTCTGAAAAATTCCCTCTCAGCTCGGTCTGCAGTGCAGCTGTGGGGCTCCGCTGTGCCTTTGCCTTTGGGGCCTTTTCAAAGCAGATGGAGGGAACCGACGAGCCGTCCCAGCTCAGCGGATTCCCCATAGGCTCATCCTTTGTTATTCAGGGGACGTGGTGCTGATGGTTGCACTTGGTGATCTTGGAGGTCTTTTCCAACCGTAATGATTCTGTGACATCCGTTGGACTGGAGAGGCAGCCTAAGTTTGTGGCAACTAAAGAGAAAGCACTTGAGTACTGTGCATCCCTCCTCTCTCTCCTGTGGGAGGATGGTGCTGTGCGGTCCCCAGGTTGCTCTGCGTCCCTGCGATCCCATCCCTGGATGTTGTGCTGGGCTCTGGTGCCAGCACCTCTCTTGCACAGATGATGACTTTAGAGCCAGCTTGGAAAGCTCAAACCAGGTGAACCGGTCTGGGAGGCAGTTCCTGCACAGACAATGCGCTCCACATCAAGGCTTGTCAGAGCTCTCCCCTCCTAACAGACAATGGAAAATACCCTGTCCTGTGTTGTGGAGGAAGCTCGTTACCAGTTCCGTATGCTCTGTGTGCCAGTCCTTTCCAGAAATTCTTACTAATAAATTGTTTCATGTCTCCGGGGCTGCCTTGCATCTTTTGCACTGGGAGTTCTCAACCTTGGGATTCTTTTGGGGTGTGCTGGCAGGTTGGTCTGGTGTGTTGTCCTGTGTGATGCATTGTTTATTTCCTGCCATATAGAGTTGAGTAGTAAGGCATCAGTGTGTGTGTTGTTTAAATGCTCTTTTAAAAAAGGGAGAAGCTGAGAGAGTCTGCTGGGAATAAAACATCTTCAGTCTCTGCAGTTGCCCTAACATGCTGAAGATGTGCTGCAGTGCCCATAACCTGAGCCCTGCCACGATCTGCCCGTAAGAGGTGTAACGCAGGTTCCACAGCAGAGCTCAGGCACAGATTGCATCAGGCACTGGGTAGGGAGGTGATGGGAAGTACCTTGTCCCACCGAGCTCTAAAGTAGGACAGGGGACTTGTGCTGTCAGTCTGGGAGCACAGCATCAGCACAGGTCTCAACTCCTGACTCGGTGGTATTTGCTAACACATGGTGCTTGCCGTGAGCTTTCCATGTGTGCAAAAGTCAGAGTTAAGCTTGGAGACAGCCAGTTCATCTAAATGATGCACTAGGGAGAGCCAGGCGAGTGAATAAATGAAGTATTTACTGGTTGCCATTTGCTGCCCTGCCTCTGTTTTCTGAGCTGTAGCAGTGGGATCTGCTGATGCAGCTTTGTGAGGCACTTTAAGATGCGCTGAGAGTCAGTGATGGGCTGAGCTGGAGGAGCAGGATCAGGCACTGAGTCTGCTCAGGTTCTGTGGTGCAAAGTTGCCATCTGGCAGCTGTGAAGGTGTGTGCATGTCTCAGGTCACCTGTTGCATGTCTCGGAGTATTTGCTCTGCTTCCTTTCCAGCTTGCTTTTTATGTACATGTATATATTTATATACAAACGTATGTGGGATGGTGGTACTCAGCTGTACCTGTCACCTTCAGCTGCCTGTGTGGGAGCTCCAGCAGATGTGCTGTGCAATGGATCAGCCTGGGATGCTTCACCTGTGGGAGCCTGGGCTCTTCACAGAAGATCTGCCTGGGATGGAACACTGCTGTTGTGTCAGCCGTTAGCTGCAGCAGCATCCGATTGCTTCAGAGCATCAGGAAGGGATTTCTTCATGCACTGCTGGCTCCCGCATCCCCTATTCTGACTGTTCATTTTGCTGATGAGCATCACACAGACCCACGTGTGGTTTTCGTCCCTTCATGTGGGAGTCAGGTCATGTACCTGTTGGTAGCATGTGGATGTTCCTGGGCAATGCTGGTCCCCTCACAGGGAAGAGCAGTGCTGTGACTGTTGTTAGAAGGTGTTGTGAGCTTGGAAAGACTCTGCAGGCTCCTCTCCTGTGGGGAGCTGCCATGAGTCATTTGGAAACAGCTTTTTTTAACCCCAATAATCTTTTTGCTCTGCCCACCCGTGAGTTTGCCTCTGTTTAATAGCTGTCCTGACTGCTCAATGCTAATTACTCAGAAGACTCTTTGCTAGCCCTGACTGGAGGTGTGCCAACACAGGGAGCCTTTCAGCACTTCCAGCAGCCGCCCTTTGCAGCTAGAGCCCACCCCTCTTTGGCCTCTCTGTGTTGTGGCTGTTCCCAGCCTCTGCCCTGGGTCTCCATGCCTCTCCCTTCCAGATGGACCTGTTGCTGTCACTTCCCTGGCACCCACTTGTCCTTTGCTGGCTCTCCAACTGCACCAGGCTGTGATCTTCCCCCTGCCACAGCCAGACTCCATCTGAGGCTCCCGGAAAGCCCCAGTGACCTGAGGGAAGCCTGTCCTTTGTGTGCCAGCTCTGAATCTGCCCTTGTCTCTGCCGTGGGATGTGGGGCTGTGCTGTGTAGTGGGGCTGCAGAGGGCTGGTTGTGTCCAGAGCTCCAAGTGTGACTTTTGGGGTGGCACGGCTGTGAATAGTTTCCCAAACTGAAGTAATAACTGAGGATCTCTGTCTCACTTCCCCAGCCTGCAAAACTAGCGATGAGTGGTGTCTGTTAGCTCCTTTTTGAGGCAGTGCTCCCCTGCAGTGCCAACAGCCCCCGGGCTCTCTGTGCCCTGGAGCACTTGCCCAGCTCCACAGGGGCTGAGCCATGACTTGTTCCAGACCACATAGGAAGTGGTTGGTTAAGCTGGGATTTGGACCTGCATCAAACCTTGTACTGGAGGCAGCTTTGTTGTAACGTTGGCTGCAAGCCTGAGTGCCAGTGTGGGGCAAACCCTCAGTGCTGAGGAGTCCCAGTGTTGCTGGATAGAGTCCTTCCCTATTGTGGAGGGCTCAGAGGTGTGGATTCTCTAACCCAGACAACTTTTGGATGAAAAAGAGAATGAATGTCAGTGCTTGTGGCAGGTGGCTGAAATGAGCAGAGAGCAGATCTCTGCTCGAGGAAGCACATCCCAATTCAGGCTGGAAAGAGCCTAGGAATTTAAACAAAGCTTCTCTTTGCTGCTGCAAAGAACAAATCTTCAGCTAATTGTGGCTCTTTAGATCTAAGGTTTTGAAGGCAGAAGCTTACAGGATTTGATTTTGGTCTGTATTTGGATCCCAACAGTGTGCAAGAGGTGTTACCCCAGTCCAGGCTGAGCAGACCATCCGTGGGTGCCCTGAGATATTTTGCACTGTCTCTTTCTTTTTCCCTCCCTGCAGCATTCAGCCTGTCTATGGAGCACAGCATCCTCCACTGGATTCCCGCCTCACCAAAAAGTAAGTGCAGTTTGTCTCCTGGAGGCACAGCCTGTGTGCTTTGCTTTTCTTTCTCTTTCTTTCTTTCTTTCTTTTTTTGGTTCAGTCTTGGTAGAAGTCTCCAGCATCCCTAGCACTGTGATTCCATCCCCTCCTAATTGGACTGGTTCATTTTGCTGGGAATGTAAAAATGATGTAGCAGCTTCGTTCACATTTCCCGAGCAAACTCAGATGGTACCAGGGCAGCCCCACTGTGCATCCCCTGTGTTCTGTGCAGTCTGAGCTCTTCGGTGCAGCTGTGATGTACAAGAAGGGCTGTACAAGGAGTATGGTGCTGTCCTGGGCTCTGTGAAAGTTCACAGGAAAGCTTATCTGCTGCTGCCTTTGTAGCCAGAGATCTGCACTGGGCAAATGTAGGGAGAAGATGCATTCTTTAGCAGTGTTGTTTGCACCTACTGGGTAGGGAAGAGCTGAGGGAAGGGCGAGGTAAAGCAGCGTGGCAGCAGGCAGGGTCAGCAGCACAACCACAGCACCCTTCCCAGCAGGAAGAGGCAGCACTGATCTGCGTGGCCTCCTTGTCCCTATCTCGTGCCGTGCAGCAGTGAACGTTCCTGTCCATGACGCTTCAGCTGGTGGACTTTGACTCCTGCTGCTTAAGGGTAAATGGAAAGGCTCCTCCTGCACCTGAGAAAAGAAACAGCCTGGTCTGTCTGCTGGGAGTGACTACAGCTGTGCCGGGAGCTTCCAGGAGCATAGGCTGGTTCTGGCATGCCTCTCTCCAGGTCACAAGACTTCTTTTTGCATTCATCTGCCTGTTTTCTGTGGGTTAGGAGGAAGCAGAGCTGGAGAAACTGTATGTCTCTCTTGTTTGCCCTTCTGAGCCGAGGAGGCTGGCACCTCTCCAGCTGTTAGCTGGCACTGTGGCTTTCTGTGCCCTGAGATCATACCAGCTTGGGCAGCCTCGAGGAGCTTAGTGCGTGCCCTGGGGTTTTGGAGGTGGAACTAGGAAACCAGGGGAAGCCAGGGACTGCCTGTGTGGAGCAGTGAAGGAAAGCATGTGGATTATCTAGCAGTGCTGCTCTGACATTGTTTCTTTCTGGCTTCCAGCTTCATCAAGGACCGCTCTAAAGCCAACGTGCTGCCTGTGAAAAGTAAGAAGGCCTCCAGCTTTCATGAGTTTGCCCGCAGCACCAGTGATGCCTGGGACATCGGTGATGATGAAGATGAAGACTTCACTTCCTCTTCTTCCTCTTTGCAAACTTTGAACTCTAAAGTGGCCAAGGCCACAGCTGCGCAGGTCCTGGAGAACCACAGCAAAATGCGGGTGAAACCTGAGAGGACCCAGCCTGCTCTCAGTGACGTGCCCACCAACTGCAAGGTCAACAAGTCCAGCAGCGAGGCCCAGCTCTCCAGGATGTCTGGTAAGAGCTGCCTTTAGGAGCAGCTTCTGGAGCTCAATATTGTGGGTACAGACATGTCTGTCTTCCAGGATCCTTGAAGAGAGACAGATTCTGAGGAGTTTTGAAAGTCTATTAAATTCTTGGTCAGCATGTGCTGCTCTTAATCAAGGTCAGGATGAGAACCTGTGGAGGACCTTGCAGTTAGCTTATTCACTCTTTGGGTTGAAGCTCATCGGGGCATATCTGCAAGCTGGTTTTTCTGGGGTTCCCTCAGCTTCCTTCTGCCTCATCTTCTGTCCTTCCCATGTCCTCCCATATCTGATAGGGGAAGGCAGGCAGATATCTTGATGCGGAAGGAAGGAAATGGGGGAAGCGATGGGTTAGCCAGTCCACAGAGATCTGTTGCTGCTTCTCCAAGTGGCCAGCAGTGCTCTGTATGCTGGGGTTGGGCAGGAGAGATGCTGCCTGCTGTGCTGAGCCGAGCCTGTGGCGGTAGTCAGAGGAGCACAGTGGGGTTGAAGAGCTGCTGTCCCCTTCCCGTCCTCACCGCAGTGTCTGATCTGTGCAGAGGAGACCTGTGTGCGGACCCCCCTCCAGAAGCAGCAGTCCCTCCCCCTTCGGCCTGTCATTCCACTTGTTGCCCGAATCTCCGACCAGAATGCGTCGGGTGCTCCCCCCATGACGGTGAGGGAGAAAACCCGCCTGGAGAAATTTCGGCAGCTCCTTTCCAGCCATAACACGGACCTGGGTGAGTGGCGTAATGGGTGCCTGTGGGTGGGGAGGCAGAGGGAAGCCTGCTGCCTCTGTGAAACATGGTTCACTATCTACTCCAGGCTGAAAAAAGATGACTTGTGTGTTGGCAGATGATGACCTCTTCCAGCAGCTGCGTGTTTCCAGTCTGTTTCTGGTCACAAGTGATGGTTGTGGTCACAGGGGGCTGTTAGGCTTTGCATGAGAACTGAGCCCCACAGAGAAGGAACCAGTGGTTAGCATTCTGGCAGCCAGTGCTCCAGTCCCAGTGCTGAGCCAAGTGTCCCCACTCTCCAGCCACAGACCCACATCCCCAGTCACTGCTAATGTGGAGCTCCGTGGAGGCTCAGTGTCTCCAGAGCTTGCAGGAGCAGACTGGGCTTTCCTCTCCTTTTAGGTATAGTGGTGCCTGGACGTGCCTAGGATCTAATCCATTGCCACCACTGTCCGTTTGCAGATGAGCTGAGGAAATGCAGCTGGCCTGGCGTGCCCAGAGAGGTCCGGCCTGTGACATGGCGTCTCCTCTCAGTGAGTACTTGGAGCTGGGATGCAGGAGGCTGGGGGGAATCTGGGGCACTCGTGCGCCTTCATGGGAGCAAATCCGTACGTGGTTTTGCTCATGTTGTACTTGTGGCCAGCCTACCAATGAGCTGTAGGATTTTTCTGGTCAGGGGTTGTAATTGCTATATCTCCTGAGCACAGACCCCAGGCAGGTGCTGGGAATGTGGCTTGTTGTTTCAAGAAACTGAATCCTGTAAAGTTGGATTGTACCAGATTAGAAAAGGCATCAGAGTGTGGGAAAGCCGAAGGCCACAACTACTCTTCCCCTGCTCCACATTCCCCATATCTGCTGCATCCATGTGCACAGCTGCCGGGCAGGACTTTAGAGGTTGGTTTGTGGTGAGGGAATAGGGGCTACCCTGAGGTTTCCTCCTGCAGGGTTATCTCCCTGCAAACATGGAGCGTCGGAAGCTAACCTTACAGCGCAAGCGGGAGGAGTACTTTGGCTTCATCCAGCAGTACTACGACTCCCGGAATGAGGAGCACCATCAGGACACGTACCGACAGGTACCTGCCATCTGCGTGGCTTCCCGGCCCCTTGCCACTGCGTGTTTTTGAGTTGGGGTCATACCAGGACTTCTACCTGTTAGTTGCAGGTAGAAGTTAGTGACAAGTACTGGATTAGGCCTTCCCTAATCCCATCTGAATTGAGCAAATAACTGGATTTCCCAGCCCATCTCTGTCACCAGCCCAGCTCTGAGCGAAGGATGCTGAACTGTGGGTGACTTCCCTGCGCGGCTGTAATTTGTAGCACTCGTAGCACTCGTGTGAGGGGCACTGCAGGGTGGATTCTCTTCTGTCATGTTGAGTTATTGTGTCCCTTAAAAGCACGGCTGATGTATCTGACCCATGCTCTCTTCCAGATTCACATCGACATTCCAAGGACCAACCCACTCATCCCCCTCTTTCAGCAGCCGCTTGTCCAGGAGGTAAGGGGACAGAGTTAGACCGACAGTGTCGTTAGACTGAGTAACTCTGTAGACCAAATGTCCTGGGTGACTCCCAAAACCTTGTCCAGCTGGTCAGGAAATACATGCTCACGCTGCCGGGTCTAGTCCTCAACTTTCTGAAACGCATCAGTCTTGAAGACCAGGGGCTACAAGGTCAGCATTTTTTTCTGGCAAGAATTGGTAATAGTCCTGAAGCTTTTGTTCTGAAACAAATTTGATGAATTTGACACAGAGCAGGACATCAGTTGTGTTTCACTGCAAAAATGCCCCTGCACAAAGCGATGTGTGAGAAAATCACGTAGGGCTGTTGGAGAGGTGGCCAGGAGGTGTGAGCATCTGTTGTCTCGGTGTGTGTGTGGTATGTCAGAGTATGACGTCCTGGGGCTGGCTGGGAGTAATATATGTAGGTTTTGGAGGCTGCTCTGTTGGGTGCTGCGATCTGTGATGTTCTGCTGGGAGCGCTGTGCCGACAGCTGATGGATAAAGAGCACAGGTAACAGCCTTAGCTGTCCACGTGATGTTCAGCAAGATGTGCAGCTCTTGGAAAGTTGGTGTCGGCTCTTCTTCAAGCAGCAGTCTTGATGAGGACTCTGGATTGTCTTGCTCTGGAAAGAGTGGGCTGGCCTTTGTGGGGATCTGTGGATCATGCTGGAATCTCTTAGGACTGGTATCTTCTTATCTTAACCATACTGCTGCAGAAGAGCCTGTCAATGCATGACCTTTGCTCCCTGAGCTTAGCAGTTATGCTTTTCTGCCTCTCCTTTGTGCACGGCTAATGCAGGTACCTGCTTTCCTTCAATTCTTCCCTAGATCTTTGAAAGAATCCTGTTTATATGGGCCATTCGACACCCAGCCAGTGGCTATGTACAGGGAATCAATGACCTGGTCACTCCATTCTTTGTTGTGTTCCTCTCTGAATATGTTGGTAAGTGACGTTCACTGCCTCTTAACCGTAATGCTGTGAAGTGCTGGCATCACCTTGCTGGAGGTGATGTGTTTTCTTTCAGCTCCTGCACCATGCTACAGATGCATCTTATGCATCTCTTAGTGCACCTTTGCTGCCTGGCTGAATTGACTTCAGTTTCATAACCTTGCTGAGCTCTGCAGAAGTTGAAGCAGTAATGATAGATTTGTGTTTGAATGTACTTAGAAGAGCCCACCCTCCTCCAGTCTTGGTGCTGAGGGAGTTTAGGCAGAGCCTTGGTGCCCTGAACTTGAGGTGGTGGGGAGGATCTTGCTCTCAAAGCTTGAATTTGGAGCTCATTCTTGCTCTAGGAGGACAGACTGAAGTATAAAGAGACCCTGTTGAGAATGTAAAATAAACAGTTTAAATAATGATTCCTGTCCTGTGCTGCTAGTGCAGGTGTTTCTGTCAAGCTGAGAGTTTCAGAAACTAAGACTTCTCCCAGCTGCTTTTGGCTTTCTTGTCAGCCAGTTGCTTTTAGCTGGAGAGCAAGTCATTTTCACCCATGGGATTTTCATTCTTTCTCCAGCTCTTGCTGAGTTTTGGAGTTGACATGAACACTGGGGTGCCAAGAGAATGTTTAAGCATAAGGATCATTTTTTCACTGTAAAGAGCAAGGAAAAAGATTTTCTAAGACAGTGACAGAGAAATCCTCTTGGACAAATGATTTAGGATCTGATCCACCGCTTATTGAAGTCCCTGAAAGCCTTCCACTGTCTACCTGAAGCTTTGTAAGCTAGTAGTGGTCCTTGTCTTTTGAGGACACAGGGCTAATCCCCAAGCCATACCGTTGCTCCTCACAGTCCCTCACAGGAGAAAGCAGTTGGGGCTCTACTGCTACCCGGAGCGAATTCCCTGTTCTGGGAAGTAAAGAGTGAGTCAGCTGAGCCAGAAAAGAGCTGGTGTACGTTGGAGCTGCTTTAGGTACTTCGTGTGACTTCTTGCAGTCATGCACCATGTTGGTCATTGGGTTCATGGCTGGGACCTGTCTGACTGGGGCCACACTTCTTCCCATCTTTCAGGCCCCTTTTATCCTTGGAATGTGGCTGCCTTCTGTCACTGAGAGTTGCACTGACCCAAGCAATACCACACATCCTCTTCTGTCTCCAGAGTATGGGACTCAGAGCCAACCTTTAGGTCAGGAGCACGATGTGCTCATGTCTCAGCAGCCATCTAAACCCCACGAAGTGTCACTCAGGAGCTCTGCCAGCCCCCCACCCCCCAAGTCCTTGGGTAACTGTGGCACTGGTGGCAGTGTCCTGGCTGCCCCAGCCTGCCTTGAGTGGCTGTCACTGTGCCACCAGCTCCCTTTCAGAGCCATATGTTGAGTATCTTGTTCCTTTCTACGGGGCCCCTTAATGATGCCGCTGAACAGATGTTTGAGCTGAGCCATGCCCTCTGGAGACTATTTTTATGTTTAGTTTTTTTTCCCCCAAAGCTTCTTGCAGCCCAGGATCTCCTAGCAGTCCTCCTTTGCTGGCAGAGTTGCTATTCTTGTCCCTTTGTCCCTTTGTCCCTGTGAGTACAAGCAGCAGGCTCTTCCCTGTTACCTAGGCTTATTACCACCTCCCTTTCTTTGTCACACTTGTACTGAGCTCATCGTGCCTGGAGCCCTGCAGGGAGCTTTTCTGCACGAGGTGACAGCTGTGTGGCTGAGCCACCAGTACCAGCTGTACACACTTGGCCTCGTTCTGCTCCTTAACCTTGCCCATATTCCTGCTAGGGGGAAGTGATCGAGGAAAGGAGGTGGATATCTGCTAAACAGAGTTTTTGCCTGCCTTTATAATTACCTGGGAACTTGAGGATGGCTGTTGAAGAGCCAGAAGAGGAGTAACTGCTAATTTTGGATGATGACCTGCAGCTGGAAAACAGCCTTGTTACTTTTTCTTAGCAGTGTCAGCACTGCTGGATTTGCCTCTCCTGGTTGTTGGCAGAGCTGCCCTCACCCACAGAGAATGTGCCCTAGGAGCAGACCCATGTCAGAACCTTCATGCATGCACTGCTCTGGCCTCTCAGGAGTGACAGCAGCAGCAGAGACTCTCCTGGTCTCCTGAGCAGCTGGGCTGGGTTCAGATCGTGGTTGCTGAGTATCTTGGGTGCTGGTGCTCTCCTGGCCTGGAGAAGCAGGTCGATGCAGAGGTGTCCTACTTTGTGCTGGGAAAGCTGTTCGTTTCAGCTTGCTGGCAGTTGCATGCAAGGAGTCTTAAAGCCTCTTGGTGTTCCTGTGAACCACCTGGTGCCCTCCATCCCCCTTATTCTCCTCCCTGTCTGTTTTGCAGAAGAGGACGTGGAGAACTTTGATGTGACAAACTTGTCACAGGATGTTTTACGGAGCATCGAAGCTGATAGTTTCTGGTGCATGAGCAAGCTGCTGGATGGGATACAGGTGAGCAACTGGAGCCGCAGAGATGTCTCCCCTTGCCTGATGGAGCAGCACCACTGCCTTGTCACTGTATCCCCTGGAACTAGCGTGTAACTAGCTGGGCCTGCAGCACTCCTAGCATTTAAAATTGGAGTTGTGCCTACGTTTGTTCTCTGACAATGTACCCAGCATTAATGGACATTTGGGCATGATGTGGGGGCAAAATTCCAGGGAAGAAAAGAGCTGCAGCTGTGCAGTGCAGCCAGCACTGTCCCAGCTTCCCAATTACTGGGGACTTCACAGCAGACAGATCCTGGCAATCAGGTGCCGTATGTCCTTGGCTGGTGCAGAGCTGGGGATCTGGTTTTGGTCATTTCCAATTGTTGCAGCTGCTGCTTCTGACTGATGGCCTTTCCCTGCAGGATAACTACACCTTTGCACAGCCAGGGATCCAGAAGAAAGTCAAAGCTCTGGAGGAGCTTGTGAGCCGGATTGATGGTAGGTGACAAGGGAATTTGAATGGGGGAAGACTTCTGTCACAACAGTGAGAGGCTTTCTTTGCAAGTAGGGAGGAACCCTCTGTACAAGGAGTAGATGCTTGCCCACAGTGAGTAGGGGCAGAGCATGGTTGGCCAAAAGGCTCCTGGGGGAGGGATTTCATTGGCAAGGTAGGACGAGGTGAGTGGTGGAGGTGTTTGTGAGACCTCAGCCTTGAAGTACATGTAAGCCATCATGATTTCGACAGTGCCTTATGCAGGAGCTTGGGTGCTGTGATCCACAGGTGTGTAAGTGAATTGTGCTGTTTCAGAGCAGGTACATAATCACTTTAGGAAGTACGAAGTTGAATACCTGCAGTTTGCCTTTCGTTGGATGAACAATCTGCTCATGAGGGAGCTGCCTCTTCGCTGCACAATCCGCCTTTGGGACACCTACCAGGTATGTGCACTTGCTGCCATCCCTTCTTGGCTGCCCTCTGTAGGGCCACCTCCTCGCACAGGGAGGTGAGGCGCCATGCAGCTGGGGAGGTTAGAGGAGCAAAGTGTGGCCTCTGGGGTGTTTATAGACAGCTGAAGGTGACATGGACATGTTTGGAGGAGCTGTGCTCCAGCAGAGCCATAGGAGCTGACCCAGAGTTTTGTCGCCTACAGTCAGAGCCAGAGGGGTTCTCGCATTTCCACCTCTATGTCTGTGCCGCCTTCTTGATCAAGTGGCGGAAGGAGATCCTGGATGAGGAAGACTTCCAGGTGAGTCCCCAGTGTGTGGGGCTAATTCTGGGCAAAAGGGGAGGGAATTGCCTCGGGTGGGAGCCCACAATGGATATGGATATGTGACGGCAGCTCAGCTGTCATCTCAAAACTGGCTCTAAGATCACCCAGTCTCAGGAGTTTTGCTCAGAAGTAACCCGTAGCCTTTGTGCTCAGGGCAGAGGACTGAACGGTTGGACAAATACCAGCTCTTTCCTAGGTTTGAGCTTTGGGCGCAGTGAGTCCTACAGTGGCTGCCTTTTGCTGTCTGATTGTAACACTGGATGGGAGCACCCTTTCTTGCAAGAGGTTTGAGGGCTTCTGAGGGTGTTTCACTTGTTCAGAGTTGACACGAGCACATCTTAATGCTCTCCTGAGCCTTTCAGACCTGCCAGCATGGCGACCCAAAGCTCCTGAATGCTGCTGCCTCTGTTCATTCTGTCCCTGGGCTTCCTCTGGGTCTGTATTTTGCCATCAGCTGCTCCAGTGTGAGCATCTTCTCTTCCAGGGCCTTCTAATGTTGTTACAAAACCTGCCGACGATACACTGGGGCAATGAAGAAATCGGGCTCCTCCTTGCTGAAGCCTACAGACTCAAGTACATGTTTGCAGACGCTCCCAATCATTACCGCCGATAGGTGCCAGGACTCAACTCCCTCCTCTGCCCACCTCCTCCTCCTGGCCCATCTGATCACTGTGGCATTTTGTCATCCACGTCCTCGGATGCTTCAGCTGGGAGCTGCTCTTCGCTGTACAAAGCTCACGTTGACTCAACTCTTCTGCGTGCCTGTCTGCCACTCCACACACCTGGATGTGCCACTCCAACCACTGTCAGTATTTCACTCTGTGCTGGGGGCCTGAGCCAGGGAGAGAAGCTTGAAGGGGCAGGGGACAGCTCTACAGATAACTGAGCTCTCCCAGCCCTGCCTTGGGCTTGTCCAGCTGCTGGTTGCCTTGCTATGCTGTGACACGTTTGCCCACTGCTGCACCTGTGTACACACATGCTTGTGCCTCACATGTGTGTGCTGCCCCGTCTGCTCCCTTCTCTCTTCAGCTGCAGTTTGATCCAGCTCCCAGACAAAAATGCCTTATCAGTGACTGGCTGGAGAACTTCTCTGGGGCTGCAGGGCGAGAAGTTTCTCAGGGCCCAGCTTCATTCCTCAAGCCTTCTGGGATCACGAGGGAGCTGCTCCCACCTGCCCTCTCCTCTCCCTCCTCTTTGCCTTTCTTCAGGTGTGAGACAGCGTGGTGGGCACGGTGGGGTTAACCCCCCCATGTGCTCTGCATGATGCACACCGCAGTGACGAGACGCTCTGATGTGCCATCGGCGTGAGGGCAGCAGGGGGACTTCTGAAACTCCTTGCACAGCCCCCACTCTTCCGAGGCGTTCTGTGTATATTGTGTTCTTGTGTATATGGGTCAGAGATGTACAATATATGTCCTCCATTTGTAGCAGATATGATTTTATATTTATAACGTGGGTCCCTCGTTCTCCCTGTCCTCTCCATGGCCTCCCACCTCCCCTCTGGAAGTGGGGTGAAGTCAGAGCCACGGGTATTTCTGCCCTGACGTGTTTGGAGTGTTGAGTTTGTCAGGAAGGTGTGTGTCAGAAACGTGTATCTCGAGGCTTCCCCTGCAACGAGGAGTGTGGGAGTTGGAAGGGGATGGGAGCTGAGAGCAGGTTGAGGAGATACAGGGTATGGTGCTGCAGGGCACCATGGTGCCAGTGCCACCAGTCGGCTCTTGGGCACCAAAGATCCCCAGTGCGGTGCTGGCTGTGCCTACTGCTCCCTACAGTGCAGATGCATCCTCCGAGAGAACGCAGCCAGAAACCACCCTGGGTTCTTAAATGAAACCAATTGTGAATGTTTTATCAGGCTGGTTTCCTTCTGTCTCCCTCCTGCGGAGGGCTGCAGGGGGGGGGAGAAATATGACCCCCGCATTTCTTGGGGCAGAACATGGAGGTGCCCTGTGGGAAGGGGCAGCAGGGGCTGAGCATGTGAAAAGCAGAGCCTTGTTGCCAATAAAACTCCAGTGTCTCAAGAAACTGCTTTCCTAATCCAGAGTTGCTTTTTTCTTCTTGGGCAGTTAGACTTCTCCTTTATTTCAGTGTGCACCTTCTGTGGTTTCTCTGAGCCAGACCTTTGCTGCTCTTTGGCAGTTTGACATAACTCATTAAAAAAAGAAAAAAATATCAACAGAAGCTCGGGCTGAGCGCAGGACGGGGTGGTCTGGCACCTGCTTGTGTGTGGACTGCACAAAAGCTCCTTCATTGCCCCCAGGGCCTTCGGGTAAGTTACATTCCTCCCTCATGCCTTATTCTCCCACTCCACAAAACCTTTTAGCACCATACTAAGGGAAAGCACTAATTGTCTGAGAGTTGAAGTCACAGCATAGTCCCGGCCCCCCCCCCCCCAAAAAAAAAAAAAAAACCCTGAGACCCTACAAAGTCACTGCAAGATCTCTGCTCTTGTGATTTTAATCCTTTCCCTATGGCTCCTCACTTTCATTTCCTGTATTTCTGGCTCACAGGGAGAAGCTGGGGGCAGTTGCTGATGGTTCCAGGCATGGGAGATGCCAATGTCATGGAAACTTTTTTATCCACAGAATAATTCAGTAAGTCATAATTTCATTTGTTCAAGGACAAAGAAGAAATGATGAAGGAGGTGGAGGGAAGGTTTTATTAGTATGTAATAATCCCGCCCAAAAATGGCAGCAGGGAAGTGGAGGGGCAGGCACTGATGTAGGGCTGCAGAGGACTGCTTTTCAGACCTTCCCTAGGAGGAAGCTGCAGGGAGCTTGATCCTTCTTGCAACAGGTGGAAAACATTAACAAAGATGTTAATAACTCACCTTTTAATGCATTCATATGTCTTCACATACACTGCAGGTGTATGCCAGGCAGCTGTGCATCACAGTGCCCTCCTGGCTACAGAAACTGTCCTTCATTCATTCTGCTGGGTCAGGTCACACATGTGGAGGGAAAAGGAGAAGGCTTGGAATCTGCACAGGGAGAAGAATGCTCCTCAGGGTAGAGTGATGCTCAGAGAGCCACACTGGAGCACCTAGCTCCCATCTCCATCTGTTGGAGGACTCCGCCTGTATCCTGGTGCCGCAGGAGCCCCCAGGCCCACAAGCAGAGCCCAGAGATGGGATTCACACCCCACGTTCCCACTTCCCATCCCTATGGGGCTCTGCAGCCACCCCAGGCCAAGGGCTGCCAGATGGGTCCCCTCCTGCAGCAAGGAACAAACTCACCTGCAGGAGGCACTGTGAGGCCACCCTCCCTCCAAGTCCTCCTTCCCTTTGTTCCTCTTCACAGCTGCTTCATGCCTGCATCAGCCCATGTGTGTCAGCTGTGCAGCAGCAGGTGGGCTGAGCTCCCTCTGCTAAAGGGGGGAGAAAAGAGTGAGTGGGAATGGCAGTGCCTGATCAGGAACCAGGGAGCCCTGCTCTGCCTCCACTTCCCCCTCAGCAGGGATATGGCACTGAGCAGAGCCTTCACACATCCACAGCACCTGCTGCCACCACTGCCTACCCAAGAAGCACAACAGCAGAAATCCTTTGTTTAATACTGTAGAACATTTATTTCTCAGAGAGAAAATATAGTCTCAGACAGTCAGATTATAGTAGGTAAAATTAGCTTTTTTTTTTTCTTTACAAGCATAGATTTTCTTATTACCTCTCTTATACCATCTGATATAAACAATTCTAGAAAGCAAATAAACTCACTTTCTACAATAAATAGAGCAATCTGTGCTTTACAGCAGTGACAGTCACGTCTCGGTCCCGTAGCAAACAGCAGATCAGCCACTTCCCATTCTGAAATGTCATTTAAAAACAACCAACCAAAAAAATAACAATATCCCAGATTCTGAAAACGTACACAGGTCACAAGTCCACAGCTGAGTTACCACCCAGAGAAGTGTATGTTCCTTTAAATAAGTTACACCGTGTGCATATAAAAGACCCAGCGACACGACTGAGGACTTCAAGAATGGTGACAATAAGTCTCAATAACTTAGAGCAGTACTGTACAACTATATACAGAACGTCCTTCCCTCGCCACACCCCAGAGGCATTATTTCTATTTGTACAAAATCCTATGCCCCATCTCTGTATGTTAAAGGAATCTTCCTTAAAGTGTGGCTCCGCGTCCCAATGTATAAGAATTGGTATTTCTAAAAAAGTAGACCACGTAGAAATGGCAGTGATTACTCCCCACTATTCATTATTATTATTTTGACCCCACATTCTCTTCAGTATGAAAAAGTTAAAATAATAAAAAAATATCGAGTTAAAAAGCAAAATGGTGATATTCAATCTACAATCTTGCTCTGCACCTTTGGTTCTTAAAATGGGAAAGCAGAAAAAGGGAACACACAACAGAAGAGATCAGAGAAATTTTAAGTCCTTGGCTAATAGAAAAGGATTTGTCATCTGTTTCCAAACATTGGCTGCCCATTTTTGCAACGCAAACTCAGAAAGCAAAGAGGGGCTGCAGCAGAGCCAGGCTGGTTTGTTTCTTAATGGATGACAATGCCAGAGACCCACACAGCAGGAAGGGATGCACGCATGTGAGAGAAGGCAAAAAGGCAAAATGGTCGTGTGCTCTACTTAGTGCTTGGTTTCAATCCAAACCAAGCCCGAGGAGAACTTGAAAGAGACAGAAAGAAGAAAGGAAGAGGAGCCTGACACCAAATGTGCATCCAGCAACACAAGCGATGCGTCTCCCTCCAACCCTGATCAACCTCAGTGCCTGCAGAGCTGCCCCAGCACAGGCACCTCCAGAATCAGCTTTGTTTCTTCAGAAAAAGAAGTTATCTTTGCTTAGACTCAAGGCTGTACTAAACCATGGTATGAACTGCTACTGCAACGAGCACAGTCACAGAAATCCGAATTTAAGTGTGAAACTACCAAATACATTTCTAGGCCATAAATGCACACCAAAAAACACCACAGGTAATTTGTTTTTCATATTTTAAGCTCTGTGCACCTGCATGTATGTGTGTGCAGCAGAGGGGAAAGTTACCAAAATACCTCACTCATTTCCAAACGCAATGCAAGAAATCTAACGTAAAGCACGATGTATGTAGGCAGGAAAATCGTGATACCGCCTCCCTGCTACCATTTCTGTGATGGGACAATCAATTTCATTCAGAAAAACAAAAAGGCCAGTGACGGTCAGAGTAAGTTTGGCACAAGAAAGCCCAGCTGTGATTTCTGTACAGGATCCTCGTTTGCTTACAGGGGCGATGGGTTCAGGGAATGACTCAGGGCTGACTGACACCCGAACTCCTGGCAGCACGGAGGAGGCAGCAGCAAGAAAGTGCGACGAGGTCCAAACATCTCAGCGTCGAGCTCTGCTGCATCAGCTCACTGTGGCTCCCGCCACCCAGCAGCTTTTCCTAACGCCTCGCTCCTGGCCCCGCACACCGAACATTTCGTCTCCTGCCAGCTCTTCAGCAGGGCACATTCACAAAGAACCCCACAGTCTCTCTGGCGCGCCGCGTGCACCTCGAGGAGCGCCGCCCACTGCTGGGAAGGCGGGGCGCTTCGGCCGCTCGGCGCCGGGCTCCCTGTGCCGACACAGCGACGCCTGGAGGAGGACCGAGGACCGGCCGCCCAACGCTCACAGATAGCTGGACGGAACGAAGGGATGATCCCCCCGCACGCGGCTCATGTGAATCATGGCTCTGTCATACGCCACCTGCACGGACTTGCGGATGCTCGTTTTTCGTCCTTCCATCATCTTTAGCTTGTCCACAGTGTCATCTACGCCGAGAGGGTAGACCTTGTCACGTGGAAGCCACTGCCTGCAGCAGAGAGCACAAAGCCCTGTCACCAAGGGCATCGGGACAGGGATGGGGGAAAAGGAGAGCAAGTACCTGCAGGCCTCTTGCAGCCTCTGGCTGAGCTCTCTGCAGGAGGCAGGCTGCTCCGTGTGCCGGCTCTGCTGCACAGCTGCAGCAGGCCAAGGGATCGGCCCCAGAGCCACCAAGACGTGGCCAAGTACTCCGGCCCCTCAGGAGCAATTAATCACTGGTCACTGTTCTCCCCAGGAACAGATACTTTCATATGATTTACTTTTTTTAAAAAAATTAACCCCCTACAATAGTGCTGTGAATGCTTAAATGCCAGCATTGGACACGGGAGAAGCATCTGCAGCCAAAATACCCTCCTGCACGAGCACTGATTTCTCTTGACTCTCCTTCCTCAAACCTTTCAATTCTCCTTAGAGCTCCAGGGGAAACTGGGAAATTTTTGTATCCCACAGAGCAGCAGACATAGGGAATTCCAAGTAAGTTTTACCACCAGAGAACTCTGCCTTCCAGGAGCCTGTAAGCACCACGGCTGGGGTGAGTGCAACTGCCTGAGTATCATCCAGAAACAGGCAGCTTCCAGTACTCACAGCCCACGTCCATGCTGACCAAAAAAGTCTCAAGTTGCAAGCCCTCAGTCTGTACCAAGTCTGGTGTGCACTCATTAGCCCGGGTTAAGTATCACACTAAGAAGGGCAGCATCTTTCTGAATGAAGTCCGGCCCCTGGGAGTCACATCTCAGCTCAATGCATTTTACAGGCAGCCAACACTGGCAGCCCAGGGCTCTTCATGTGCCTGAGTAATTTTGTGATGATGTGATCTCTAGGTGGAGGACGTTCTGCTGTTCACCATAGCAATGGAGATGTCCTGTTCTTGGGACTGGGAAAAGCAGGCCATCTTCCTCACTTAGACTTTTCTTGACAACCGCACATTTAAATTCGCTGATTTCCATGTAACATTACCATAACAGTGGTACCTGTGTGTTCCCCTCTACCAAAAGAGGAAATCAAAACGTTCTTCTCTGCCATGGCACTCACCAGAGGCCCCAGCCTGCCTGCATCCACTCACCAGGTTCTCTTGTTGTCAAAGAAAAGGACGAGGAAGAGCTTCTCGCCCGCCTCTGTCTGTCTCTGCTCCCCCAGCTTCAGCACATCCATGGGTGGGACTGGGATGGGGACTCCATTGTGGAGCAGCCCCTCACGTGGCATCTTGGGATCGATTATCTGGTGACACAGGAAGGACATTTAAGCACAAACCCTTTCAAGAACCGCAGAAAATGCATTCTTTTTCCTGCTCTTTCAATCTATCCAAGCTAGATTATTAAAATCTACTTAGGAAAATTTTTTTTACAAAGAGACACTGAGGCAGAGCAAGCAGTTTTGCTTACGCATCCTATCTTCAAGGCTTCTCCTGTGGAAGGGAAACCAGTCAGTCCAAAAACCGAGCATATGAACTTGGGAAAAGGAAGTAGGTTCTGTGTGGATACAGGTGCACATATGATAACTGGTCATTTAGTACAAAGTCAGCATTGTGTTCAGCAAAGGATTTCCCTCCCTCTCCAAACTTGCACAATAAATTCAACATCAGTGCTGCACTCAGCAGGCATGACATATTTCACAGCAGATCCATTTTGGTGCAGTTCTATTGGCTTCAGTGGAATTGCTCAGATCTACACTGCTACAAGATGTGAATCGGAGAGTGAACAGGAGAGGAGAGACCTCCTCTGGCACCGAGAGAGCAATGTTTTGTGAATTCTCTCCAATGCTCTGAAACAGTGAGCACAGGAAAAATTAACAGTGCAAAGAGAAGAAAAAAGCCAGCCACATACTGCATGGTTTTGGGAAGTTTTCTTTTACGTCTGGCTACGCTGCACACTAGTGCTGCGTTCTGGGCTGCCTGCACTGCTGCTACAGACTGCAAGAGAGCAGAAGGTACTTACCAAGGCAGGGTAGGAGGGATAACCACGGCACTTTGCCCACACAAGCTCCAAGGGCTCCAGCTCAGCCTGACTCTCAAAGGACATCAGGAGAGTTCTGCCTAAGGGACAGAAGAATACATGGCTTAGGAGGGCCCAAGGCCCACCAAGCTGGATCTGTCCTCAGTGAAACTGATGAAGCTGCATCTGAGATTGCTTTGGGCCACTGTTCAGAGAGCTCTTTTTCATTCCTCCAAAATGCAAATGCCCAGACTGCTGTGATGTCACTGGCTTTGGGACTATTTGATTTTTGCAGGAAATGCCTGGTTCCCATTGACAGAAGTGTTAGCTAACAATTTTTTCAAACCCAGGTAAGAAACGTTGCAGGAGATCCATTCAAGACATGAATGACTCATCTGCTAGCTCCTGGTCAAGGAGCAATCTGCCTTACTGCAAATCTCACAGCAAGCAGTGCTTACATCCTGGGGAATGGACAATACACGGCTTTACCAGAATTCAAACCGAGTCTGGAAAACACTGAATACAACACGAATGTACTGCCAAGCCAGATCTGATGGGCTTCACCATTATTACATGACAAACATATTCATCTGTTAATGAGATAATCTTATAAGACACAGAACAAAATGATACTAGTTCTACCAATACAGCCCCACTCCGTAAGTTTATCTCCAAGCAGGGTGGTGAGCACAGGGTGCAGGCAGTCAAGGGACTCCATCCTAGATCCTGCAGGAGGGCCAAAGCTGAATTCTGATTCAGCAGCGCCGTCATAAACCTGCAGTAACTCCTTCAATGACAAACCATAACCAAGATGAGAGTCTGGTCACAGGAGTGCTGCTACATTACTGCACTGCTTTGGGTAGTTAGGAGTGCTACTTACTTACACCGCTGTGCAGCAGTCTGACAAAGATACTGACTTTGTTACCAAGACCTTGAAAAGAAAGACAGCAATAGGAGAGGAAACAGCTATGAAGTCATCTCCAGAGA